TGGCTCTTCGACGGCCGCCTTCCTCAGGAGGGGATGCTTCTCGGGGTCGAACTTGGGCACGACAGGCTCGGGCTCGGGCGACTTGGGAAGCTGAGTCTCGAGAGCGGCAAGCTCCTCGCGCAGGCGCTTCGCACTGGCAGCGTGAGTGGCAATTGACGAGTCCATCTCGGTGCGAAACTCAGCGAGTGCACCAGGATCGTCCATCTCCAGGAGCATTTGAAGCTGGGAGGTCAGCAATTTCTCCAGCGACACGCAGAGCACTACTCACCTGCTCGCTCCATTCTGCGCCCAGGCGTTCCTGCTCGGCGATGGCCGCCTTCTTTTCTTTGACAGCCTTGAGAATCTTGGCGTGGTCTGCCATGGTGTCGGGAATGCTGAGTTGAATCCCAGACGCGGTGTTGTGGTGGATGCTGCAGGGCGGAGGCAGGTGTGTGGATCAACCAAGGTGCGAGTGTCGAGGAAGTCGTGACGGGCATGACGCTAGGGCCACTAGACTAGCCGCATGGAGCGCCAAGATGAATCTGACGATGAGGTGAAGATGCATCGACCCGCCGCATACATGAGATAAGTGGAACTACGAAGCAAACAAGCCATGCACTTTCTCCCTGGCATATCTTGGTCCTTGCGAGCCTGTCGCCGAATTACACTAGACGCAAAGCACACAAGGTCCAATGCGACCCACGCAGAAAACGGTTGCCCGCCGTCTGTAACGCGATTGCTCAGGGTCCCATCCAGACCCTCTCTCGCTGACAATCTCATGAGACATATCATCACGAGTGCCACAAACAGCCCATGGCATGGCAGTCTGCGCTTTGCAGCAAGAATAGCCAGTCTGGCGAATTTTCCGCCTTATTACCAGGAACAGGTGCCCTGATCTGCTCTTGGGGCCTTCGATGGCGTTCTACCCCACCAGGCCTTCCTTTGATTGATAAGCGAGACGATAGCCCCCCCATCATGGCCTCGCCGCCCTTTCTGCTCTGCTTGACCAGTGACTCCCAGCCATTCGGCCTATCAGTGACGTTGCCGCTGCAGTCCCTTCTGTTGCCCGCCGCTTTTCGACAAGCTCGCGGCCGCACCCCGACGAACTCGCCCGTGCCGATTGCTAGGGTCCCCTCGAGCACACCAGGCCACCAGGCTACGAGGCGGCGACCCGGCCCTTTGCACCATCCCTCCTCCACCTGACTGTCTGCCATCGACGTAGTGCTACTCTTAAATATCTTTTCCCCCTCCGCGGCCGTCTTGACTGTGCTGCTCTGACACAGGCTCACGCCGCTTCCAGACCCATCTCCTGCCGGAGAACCGCCAAAGCCGTTGTCGTCCGCACCAATCCGCTGCGCAAGCCACCAGTGCACTGCCTGTCCTGAGTGAGCTTGCGTCATTCATATAGACCTCTCGGTCGCAACGCGCCTGGTCTGAACTCCACACGTTGCCTGACCTTGTGTGGCAAAACGCTCTCCCCACCTCCATCGCGAGCGGTTTCACGACCACGCCAGCTTCTCCTCACTGAATCCCGAGTCGCCGAGGCGAACCTCTCTACAGTCGGAGCTTGGTCTGCATACCGCACACTGCCGCAACTCTGCACTTACCACTTGAACCCTCACCAGTCTTCACAATGGCTGGCACCGCGAACGACTTCTCGAACGGCGCTCCGTTCTACCTTGATGCGACCCAACAAGACCTCCTCCTGGCCGCGCTTGCCTCGAACAATCAGAACCCCAACGATATCTTCTCCACCGGACTTGACGGCAAACTAGGAATGGGAAACAATCAGTATCAGTTTCCGGTTGACAGCTTGGACCCTGCATACTTCACTTCGCCCCAGCAATCCACACCCGCCAATGCCTTCAGCAATGGGGCGATAGAGGAGAGCCCTTTCCTCGACTACGCCGACGGCGATACAAGCTTTGATTTCGACAATCCTGACGACGATCTTATGATTGGCGCTCTCCCTGGAGATACCCCAGCCGACTCGAGCGAGAAGAGGAAGAATCCAGATGACGATGACGATGATGAAGGCGGCGGCAAGCGTAGAGAAGGTGATGACAAGCAGGCGAAGAAACCAGGCCGAAAGCCTTTGACATCGGAGCCCACAACAGTAAGTCGATAAGATAAGTTATGCGGTTCTGATGCTGACGCCATGACCAGAAACGGAAAGCACAAAATCGGGCAGCTCAACGAGCGTTCAGGGAGAGGAAAGAGAAGCATCTTAAAGACCTTGAAACCAAGGTTCAAGAGCTCGAGAAGGCCTCCGATGCCACAAATCACGAAAATGGTCTCCTTCGTGCCCAGGTACAACGCCTACAAATGGAGCTCCGCGAGTATCGCAAGCGTCTCTCATTGAACAGCACCGGCCTTAATCGCACCACCCCTCTGGCCTCTGGTTTCAGCTCGATGTTGGCTAACAACACTGCAACCACCACCAACAACAACAATAGCAGCTTCTCCTTCGAGTTTCCTCGATTTGGTGGTCTTCCAGGAACCCAATTTCTGGACAACAGCCCAGTTTCCAAAACCAAGAACGCATCCGTGTCTTCTAGCATCTCGAGCCGACAAAACAGCACAGCTGGACGAGCCATTAGCCCGACGAATCCCAACGGATCCATCACTAATTCGCCGACTCAGATCGGTAACAGCCCTGTGACCAACGGAGCGCAGCGTTCGGGTAGCCTCAATGGCTTCTTTGGACTCACCAATACCGCACCCAACCACAGCGGCCGCAGCAGCACGGAGGGCTCGACTAGATCCCAGTCGCGTGTGTTCCAGTTCAACAGCGGCTCTTCTACTCAGTCAGACTCGCCATCAGCCGCCTCCTCGACGTCGCCAACGAATCAAGACTCGTCGTGTGGTACCTCACCAGAACCGAGCCATAATTCGCCAAACCAGCAGAAGGATACAATCACAGATGGTTATGTTTGTCATGGCAACTCCGAAGGTGAGGTCCTTTTCTGCGAAAAACTCAACATGGCCTGCGGCAACCCTCGCAACCCTGTCCCTCGTACGATGTCCAACTCTGACGACAAACCTTCTCCTGCAGTCTCGAACGCCAAATCTCCCTCCATGCTCAACGGCATCGATTATTTCGCAAATCAGAACGGCGGTCAGTTCGATCCGACACTCTTCGGTGAGTATCGCGACACCAACACTGCAATTGTTGGCGAAGGCGATTTCACTGGTGGCTTCTTTCATGATGCTTTCGATCCTGGTTATGGCAGTCCGTTCCACTTCGGTGATACCCCTGCCTTTCAGAAGCCCAACCCTCTCGAGGAGAGTGAGCGTATTCAAGATGGCGATGACGAGGTCGTTCCGGGAGAGGATATCAATGGGTTGTTGAACTGCCACAAGATCTGGTCAGTATCTCCAAAATCATACAATGGCTGCGCACTAACACCCAGAAGGGACAAGCTTTCAAGTCGTCCGGATTTCAAAGATGGCACGATCGATATCGACAATTTGTGCTCGGAGCTTCGCGCCAAGGCTCGTTGCTCCGAGAGTGGTGTTGTGGTTGACCACAAGGATGTCGAGGCTGCTCTCAAGCGCCTCCCCAAAGACACCATATCCGCATGATTTCCGTGCACGGCTGCATTCACAGGATGTTTTAGGCGCTTGGGAATAACCTTTTCCTTTATTCTATGCTTGGGACGTTTTTTTTTACTCTGATTATGGCGAAGCCAGCTAGTCACTCGTTGAATGTGCTCGGGCCGCAGTTTTCTGCTTTCTTGTGACGATATCAAATGATGCTGGGAATGTCTACGTGGCGTTTGACTGGCGATTGGAGAAACATGTGAGCTGCACATACATTTGCATGCCACGACTGGTGGAAAAATGAGGCTTAGGAGTGGGAGGAGTGTTAAATCAGCAATCTCGACTTCGTGTAGTCAATATATCTGTTCGATTCAATGTTCTGATGACTATTTGTCACTGTGTTCGGAGTGGCATGCATCGTATCATGTCTGTTGTCTTGAGAGGGTCTCCGGGGCTGAATCTCAATTTCTGCTCCTGAAGTTTGATGAAGGCTGGCGCCTTCAAGCTCTAGATTCGAGACTGCCAGTTTGTGGGTACCCAATTGCTACTCTCTACGTTCAAAGTTTGTGTCTCCAGATGCGTTGACTATTAATTCAGCGTGACTGACTGCGTAGATGGGAAGGAAACCATAGCCAGTCGTCATCACGCTCTCGATTCTCTTCTACTGGATTGAAAGACGCCTTTCATTTGTTATTACCCTGCGAAGATCTCCAGGCATTATGACGGCGTCCACCTTTGTCCCTGAATCTGGCCCCGGTACGTTCTTGAGCGGACGCGTGCGTTGGTCGAATTTGAAGTACGAGTAGGACCTAGGACGCTGAAACACGTAATTAGGGGTTTAGAAAACCTTTCAGTGCAAGAGTGGTAGTATTCAAATCCTTTAAAGATGCAGGTTAGAGAGGAATGCAGTCTAGAATAATCGGGTCCTCTAAGATGAGTCCGTGAATTTCTTTTCTGCTTATCTGTGGTGCCAGGATATTGGCTCGTAGTGCTTCATCAAACAAGGCACATTCGGCTGAAGAACTTCAATGTTGCCAGACTATAAACCAAGTCGCAGCGTGTTTTCATGTTCGCAACGCAAGGTTGGAAGCAGTTGCGTCGACTTCTGTTAGTAGAGCCAGACATCAACGCATTTGAACTGTTCCTACCGCTCTCGACGCGCGTATGATATGCCATAATGAAGGTGAAGTAAATAAAGCACCAGGGAAATCGATATACTTCAATTTGTAGATGCTGTGACAAGTATTGTTGCTCAAGGGATGTGGTATGTTGACCCCGCTTTTCTTGACAATTACCATTAGGCAGCGCTCTGATATGGGTTAAAGGGACGCTTACGTATTACGTAGTACGTTCTTACTCCACATGTGCCCCACCATCACAGAGAAAATTCTTCTCTCAGTTGCTCATCAGCCACCAAGCATACAAAAAAAGTAGTATATTAATTGTATAAAACTCAATTTCTTCATCTAACGTCAAAAGTCAATTTGGCCGAGTGGTTATGGCGTGTGACTCAAGTTTTCCAAAACTTCCCTTGTTAGAAGGGCGCATTCTCATGGGGTTTCCCCGCGTGGGTTCGAATCCCACAGTTGACATCATCTTTTTGCATTTTTTTTCCTTGGGGAGGTTAGTTTTTTTTTTGGAAAGTTCCAACTAGGTATCATCACGACAACCTGAGGCCAACAGCACTAAGTTGCCTCTTGGACATACGAAATACTTAGACAGAAGCCTGGCACCTTTATAATAATTAGATGCACTTTGAACAAAGCATTAAAGTCCTACAGGCTTTATCCTTCTCCTCTACTATGTTAATAAGAAAATAGAAGTGTTAGTAGCTTTAACATAGGAAAAGAGGAAACCTGTCTCTTGTTCTAGCGCTGAGGATATTGTTGCTTATTTTCCTGATGTGTAAAAGGTTGCCCACTATCCACAATAACGCTCTCGGATGTTCATCCCCCTCTTAGTATGAAGCTAAGCAGGCGTAGCTGGTATTACGTATGGTATTGGATTTTGCTATCGAGCCTTCCAAGCTTTCTTTAAGCGCGGCAGAAAACCTCTTATGTGCTTATAACAAGGTCCGTGACGCACGGGTTCTTCGCGGCACACAAATGGCCTTTGTTCCCTGAACCAAGGAGGGTCACGACTGTGGCAGAGCAGGAAAGAAACATGCCGTATTCGTCAATTGGGCCCTTACTTTATGTTTGCAAAGTATGTTTGGAGAAAGAGCTACTTGGTGCTATGGGTACAGTCTCATCATAGATGCTATAACGGTTGTATGAAGGAAATGTAAGTTAAACTAATATGTTTTGAGTCTATGCTATCTCGATCTAGACAAGCTGATCTAGACTAAGATGATGAGGAGGAGGATATAATGTATGGAATCAAGTGGAAAAGTGAAGATAAAAACGGAGTAAAGGTATACTTAGTCAGGCTTCATGTAATCGATAAAAGATCAAAGAAAGGGATATATGAGAGACAGTTCGTTTCCCTCAAGTCGTTTGTTCAGATACTAAAGAAGAGTTCCTTCGTAGAGTGAGGTCCTAACAAGGAGGTAGAAATCTGCAAGGTCGTTATACTCGCCTGTTGTTACTGGAACATCAGGCCGATTTCCGTATTGCACAGCATCAACATTGAACCTAAGCGTGGAATTCACAAATTTTGGTTGGATGCCGAGGATGTTCGTTCTCAGGCAAGTATCTAGAATTTACGTCACTTGTCTAAAAGGAGACTTTCTCAACACTGATGACGCGTGCTATATCAAGAACCTCAAAAGCCTCTTACAAGACTATTGTGTGCAATATCTCACAGGGACACCACACCCAAAATCATACGCCAAACACTCTCAGGCAAAGGCAAGTGCTGATAGAAAGCAAGGTCCCTATAACCATGCAGCATTTGTAGTCAGGACTTGCGCCAAACATTGACATCCAACATGCTAAACGAATGCCCAAAGCACAGAGTAATTGCTAATATACACCACATGATCTTACAAATCCATACACATCCACCAACCTACTCCTTTAAAACCTCTGCCACCCCCTCTCGAAACAACCACATGGCATACCACATGTGAAATGTCCCCAGAGTCCCTCCCAAGACCCCAGCCCAATCTTTCGTATTCGCCTCACACTCAAAGGTAATGATAACGTCACGCTCTTTCTCTTCACTACTTTTCACTCCCATGTTGCGGGTCACTGAGAACCGATGCACGCCCGCTAGTAATCCGCCTTCTGTACCCCATGCCAAGTCGATGTAACTGTACCCCGTGGTCGGCGCTAATGTTGAAGGCGCAGATGGGACTATATCTCCCTGAGCAGCACCCGAGACCGCAGATGACGGCCCATCGAGGTGGAAATCGACGACCCTGAACGCGCCGAAGAAAAGTGCATGGAGAGGCGGCAGCGTGGCTCTCTGTAGATACCCCGTCGACCACACATGCTCCGTAACCGGTTCATCTTTCAACCCTGCGCTCCATCAGCACTTGCATTGTTCTGCGCCTCAGGTCTGCGCGTTAACAATCCCACATACCTTCGAACCGCACCAACCGTTTCCCCAGACCACTCAACACCACCCTCTCAGGCGCAAACATGCCTCCCCCAAAGAAACCCCGCATAAACCGTGCTAGGATCTGCTCATCGCTAACCCGATCACTGAGGCGCACAGCTGTGCTCCGCGAATCCTGCGTGGCGGAATAGCCGTGCGGGTTTACCAGGCGCGCTGTTTGCGAGCTAGCGAGCGCAGTAGATATGCTGTATGAAGAGGAAATGCGCGATGTTGGGACTGAAGAAACTTGCGTGGAGATGTAGGATAGGTAGAGGGGTGGCGCGAGGGCGAGGAATGTGAAGGAGAGGGTGAGGATCGTTGGTCTGCGGAGTGGCATTGTTGATGAGAGTTGGTATACGTTGAAAAAAGTATTGTAGTTAGATTTAAGGCGGTCCTCGCCAATATATAATTTTGAGGTGGTGACTGTATCGTGGAGTTCCGCTTTGGGTTTTCCGAGTTTACCCGCGAAAAGTCGGAGGACGGCGCAGATGGATTGTTCAGCGCTGTATGTGACAAAACATCGCCTCCTTGTAGTATTCCTTGAGACTAGCAAATTTAGCGTAAAACATACCTTTGGCTTGTACTTTTAACTAGCAAGTGGGCAGGGTGTTGTTTAACACATGGCTTGCCATCGTAATTTAGACTCTTCGAAATCGCGGGTTTCAAGTTAGGTATGCGCAGTCAAGTTAAAGCTGCCCAGAATAGCAGCGCAAATAAAGGAAAAAACGAGTTCAAGAAAGATGATAGAGGGTATTAGTGAAATTCAGCTGAATGTGTTGCTCCACAAATTTTACACGCAATACGTGACTAAACCTTACTTCTGATTTATTAGTACTCGGCGCCATGTAAAACTCCCTTCATCTCATTCCACCTCCTCCAATCTTCAAGATACCTCCTTGGCAGCATCTGGCAAGTCCTCAACGTGTATCTCCCCAATCACGCTCTGCAAGATCTCTGGAATGATCTGAGCTGCATCTCCCTGGAAGAACCAGTCGCCGTTCTCCAATCCACGAGCGGGTATGTCGTTTGGATCCATATTGATAATCGCAACGCGAGCTCCTCGTGAGCGCGCCTGGTCAACATAGCCCGCTGCAGGATAGACCTTCGCACTCGTTCCAATCACCATGATCAAATCGATTTTCTCCTTTTTATTCAGATACTGGTCGATATCGTGCAACACACCCAAAGGCAACTGCTCTCCGAACCATACCACACCTGGACGAAGAAGGCCGCTTTCGCATCTTGGGCAATGCGGAAGATGAGCAAAGTCAAGCTCAGGAAGGCGAACATTGATGTCTGATATGTCCTGCTCACGAGGTTCTAGACCAGACTCTGCTCGAGCGGAGTTTAGCGTTGGGTCAGATTCATCGGCAGGAATAGCCAGAGCGGGGACAATGGGGTCGGTGTAGTTATCTTTCTCGACATACTTGCAGAAGAAATCTGAGCACTTGACGTCAAAGAGGGAACCATGGAGCAGCTTTAACTGTTCAGCGGGATGTTTGGCGCGAGGAGAAAGGCCTATGTAATTGTTAGCCACTGCTCAAGAGTGGGGGAAGATTAATTATCCCACCATCGACATTCTGGCTCAACGTGACAAAATCTGGCTTCTTCCTCGCTAATTCAGCTAGAGCATAGTGAGCTGGATTTGGTTTCGCCTTGAGGGCCATGTGTCGTCGGTACGAGTAGAATTGCCATACAAGGCCGGGATCCCTGTTGAAAGCCTCAGGCGTGGCGAGACTTGTTGCATCGTGGGTCCTCCAGAGTCCACCTGCTCCTCTGAACGTTGGTAGCCCTGAACTGGCAGACAGGCCGGCACCGAGAAGAGCTAAAATTCGAGTCGACTGGTTCAGGTGGGCCTGGAAGCTTTCAAGATCCTCCTTGGGGACAACACTGCGTCCGGGGGCCGACGAGGCCATTGCGCGGGCGAGCTTGGGGAGGGACAGAATGGCGGCGGCCGTTGGTTACATATAGAGGGCCGGGAAGGGGCTTGGTCGACGGGTGTCATGTATGCGTTGTCTGTGCAAGACGGAGAGGCAGCACTTGTAAGAGGGGAGCCTGGGCTTACAGTGCCGCCTGCGCCTGCCTGCAGGTACCTCCAGGGTCCCGCGCCCCACTTTGCATCGGTGAACTCTGGGGTTGTTATCGATAAGTGGCCGCACGGGAAAGTTGTTCCATTTCCGCTCTCTGGTGATTCGCCCGGCACCACGACTTGTTTCTTCGCTGCTGTCTTGTGGTTATTATGGCCTCTTATCTGCGGTCGACACGCCCTATAGCGAGGCTGCGGTGGCGCGTAGCTGACCGGCGCTGCTGGAGAGGTTACGCAAGCGTCCCCGCGGCAGAACTCAGATTCGGGCAGCCGCTGCACGAGACACACCCACATCTGCTCAAGGCTGGGGAAGGTGCGACCCCGTCCAGTATTTTACCTGCCTGCTCGTGTACTGACGCACTGACAGTGACTCCTGGAATCTCTGCCCTCGAGTACTACAAACGCCGCTCCAAACTCGCCAGCGAACTCCCAGCTAATTCGATTGCCATCCTCGCAGCCTCCGACCTCAAGTATGCCTCGGGCGCCGTCTTCTACAAATTCCACCAGGACCCCGACTTCTTATACCTCACAGGTTTCAAAGAGCCAGATGCTTTGGCCATAATAGAAAAGCTGGACGATGACGAGCATACATTCCATCTCTATGTGCGGCCAAAAGACCCTAAAATTGAGGCCTGGGAGGGCCCCCGCTCAGGCGTCGAGGCAGCAGAGGACGTATTCAATGCAGATGTGACAGGCGATATAAATGATCTGCCTAAGCTTCTAGTCGACATTGTTCACCGCTCGAAGACTGTATACACTGACCTTCCACAAAGCCGCATGACAAACAACATACTTTCAAGATATCTGTCTGGATCTGAGCCGAGTCGAACGGGTGGCATATCAACCGTCTTTCGTGACTCTAAAGCTTCAATTAAGCCCCTACGACATCTCCTAAATGAACTCCGCCTGATAAAGAGCGATGCTGAAATCGCAAACATGCGCAAGGCAGGCCAACACTCTGGCCGA